CTCTAGTGCGACGTAAATTAACAACAACAACCCTCCTAAACGGCAACATAATTCATCTCGTTATTAAGTCTTTTCTAAGTTGAGATAGTTTTTAAAGTGTGATGATCAATTTTAAACATTTGTTTAAAATGTTTATTTATTTATTTTCCTTCAAAACGTTTTTTTAAGATGAAAGTGACTTTTCAAAACTCATAATTGAAAGGTAAGCAATGTTATAAAATATATTGCTACAATCTATTTATAATACAGGGTGTCTATAAAAGAACTCCGGGGTTTTAAAAATTCATATCTCACTAACTATAAAAGATAGCAAAATTTAGTCGATTTCTCTGAAAAGAGTGACTCAAAAAGTTTTACTCATACCAATTGGGAATGTTTGTATCAACTGTTGGCGGCGCTGCAGGGCGTTGACCTTGAAATGGATTTGGATTTTGGATTTTTTCTTTTGGATTCCGTTGGATTTTTTCTTCTGGGGGCATATCAAGAATCTTGTGTATGCAGAGAAAATTCGTGATGTTCAACATCTCAGGAAACGAATAGTCAATTGTGTGGCAACCGTCCCCCCAGACATGCTCGCCAGGACATGGGAAGAGGTAGAATACCGTTTAGACGTCTACCGTGCCACTAACTGGGCTCATATAGAACTTTACTAAGTCTTAAAAAAAACTTGCAAATGTAAGCTTTTCAGTCATGTATAAAACATGTATGTATGTTTTTTATTTCATTAAAATATTTTGCCTCAAAACCCCGGAGTTCTTTTATAGACACTCTTTTATAGACATAATTGGATACCTACAGTAGTACGGGTATCTTGAACCTGATTGATTGTTGAAACGTGGTATTTGTTTACGTTAGCAACTGTTCTTTCCATTTTATTTCGAGGAAGCCAAGCCCGTCAAGTATCAATTCTCTTAAGTGATATATTCTATATTCTTACACAAGCAGGCCTCGCAGCGCTCCTATATTTCCTATTAATCTGGAAAAATTGCTATATTTCCTATTTTTTCCTATATTTTCTGTATTTTTTTCCTTAATTTTCCCTTATAATCCTTTCTCAACGTCCGAGGTCCCGATTTGCGCTAGTCTGATGTCAATCATCAAACCACACCTAAAAATTCTTTAACCAATCATCCGTTTGCAATGTCTTAACCCAGCTGCNTTCTATGCAAATTTTGAATCTATATTTTTTAAACAAAATATTAGGGATTCTTATATTATTTTCAAAACATTCCTATAAAATTCCTATAATTTCTTAAATGAATTCCTATATTTCCTATTATATTTTTGCTCTGAGTCACTTCTAGGCCTGCACAAGCCGACTAGGTGGCCCAGTGGTTAGCGTGCCTGACTGCGGAGCCGATGGTTGCGGGTTCGAATCCCGCTCAAGGCATGGATGTTTCTTTCTCACTGTGTTCTATGTCCTTTCTCCTTTGTGTGAATGTGACCGCCGTATAAACGGGATTGTGGCTGTGTGCCGTGGGCGACGCTGCTCCACCGCCGTGGCTTCGCCACAGGTGCCCACTGGGTAACGAGAAGAGAGTAGCAATTCTGGCTGGCCAAAGGGACACTACATCCCAAGTGCCCGCCATTAAAAAAAAAAAAGAAATATCCTTACACAAAGAATCTTTCACAAGGATTTTAATTCTTTCACTATGCATTTCTTACTTAACACAAAGACAGGCATGAAGAAGTCATGTAGAATATAAAAAAATTATGCATCGCAGTTGCCAGGTACACAAAACAAATCGAAAATATCACATGGTTACAATAAAATTCATAAGCAAATAATAAGTTAAGTGAAAGACGTAGACGATAAAAATTATATTTCAATAAATTCGATGTGCGATACGGCGCTATATTTAGTTAACTTCACTTTAATTAACATTCTAACTTATGTCGAGAAACTTAACACGCCATTTTATTAATAAACAATCAGTTGACGTCATGGGTCACATGTGTGGGTATCCGTGATCTTCTTCTTGAAATGCAAGTACCTAATTGTATTGATTTTTATTATTTTAGTAATAATGAGGGATCGAAACTGTTTAGATTATAAGGTATACAAAAGTTGATATTATGTGAAATAAAATCCAATGTTTCAACGAAATCAAATAAAATCGTCCGAGAAATAAAAATTACAAAAAAAACGGCTTTATTTTTTTTCATGAACTATTCAACTGATTTAATGATGATTAAATTTTGTATATTGCTATTTTAAATTAAATAACGTGACTTGAAAGTTATGAATTATAATTTTCAAAATTAATAGATTAAATAATAAAAATTACAATTATTAATATTTTTGTGCACAAAATTACTTTTAGATAAATGATTGTCACGCAATTGGTTTAATTAATTTGTGCCAAAAATGATTTAAGTTTAGGAAACAGACACAAAAACATACTTCCTGTGAATAAACATAGCTTTTTCTATGATAGATTTTGAATCATTACCTTGAATTATGGTGATAGCCGCTAACTTTAAATATGGCTCCACTATAGTTAAATCTGAAAAGTGACCAAAAGTTCAACCTTTTTATGTTGATTTTGATTTTTGCTACTTCAGCCTATCTCTGCAAATATATGAGGGAATTTTGCTCACAATTATGAAACAGGTTTATTCAAAAATAATTCAATGTAAAAATGACAATTTTTAGTACTATTTAATTTAATGATAATTTTAAATGCCACTTTGTGAAAATAAAATGAAATCGTTATTTTTGAGTAGAGTAAAGAAGTTTTAAAAATGTTGCGTTTTTGAAATTTCAGTTCTCTAATTCAGTTCAAATTTTAAATCTGTCATTTGAAGTAGTATTTGTAAAAAGGTGTATGACTTGCAATGTTTAATTTTTTTACCATTCTTAAATTTAAAAATAATAATTATTAAAAACTATATTTTTAGCGTGAAATTATCATTCAAAAAACAACTTTCATAATTGTGTGCATTTTTTTCTTCCTTTAATAGATTTAAAGTTAAGACGAAATATACAAAAAAAGAAATTAATTTTAAGAGCTCTTTATGTTCAACTACACGTCACATTAAATTATTGGGATTACATTTTCTTGATTGCGGTTACCACCATATTTTTTCAGAGTCAAGAAAAGCTAATCGTTCAAAAAAATATGGTTTAACATGGGGAAATACGTTTTTGTGCTTAAATTATTTTATGTACTGATTACTTATATTTTATAACCATCATTGAACAGCAGACCCAATTTTTAGTTTACGACTACCAATGTTCAACTCTGTAGCCTTGTAATTTTGAGCTCAACTAGAAGACAAAAGAACTGAATCAAGTCTCGCGAGAAATTTGTCTTCGTGGAGGACTTTTTTGATGAAACTGACCCGCATTTGCAAAGGAATTCTGGCTCACGATCTGTCTACCATCAACGATATTTGCACTCCCATAGTGATCGATGCGAGCCGGGTGCGGTATTCAAATTGACTAGCCATCGCTGGGATTCGAACCTGGAGCACGTCATAGGGAAAGAAGCACTCTATCCCCTGAGCCACCAGGGCTCGCACATATAAGTTAACATGTTAGCACATATATGTAGTTAAATTGAATTCTCGAACCATTTTAGTACGTGAGAGCTTTTAAAGCTCTCGATCCTTTTTTTCTCCTGCATTGTACTTGTATATATACTGAATAATCTTTGTAAAGAATGAAATAAAAAATATTTTATGGATCGCAAACTAATGTTTAAGTGAGGAAAAAGACAAGATCAGTTTATTTGTTGGAAAAAGTTATATGGTGCCGTTGGTAATTGCTTGGGTCATTTCGAGTTTTACTTTTATCAGTCAAGTCACCTAGGTTTAATTATCTTAATGGCATGTATGCTATGATGGTTCTCAATACTGATTCGTCTGATGTAGGTAATAAGTGCTTGTTATCCTTTCTAACTTAAATATTAATTTAAAACTTTAAATATATAAATTCTGTTGTTGTTGTAGTTCCTTTACGTCGCACTAGAGCTGCACAATGGGCTATTGGCGACGGTCTGGGAAACATCCCTGAGGATGATCCGAAGACATACCATTACAATTTAAGGACAATACTAGACATATGTAAAGGACGACAATAACAAACTTATACACTTTAAAACGCTTTTTTTCTCTTTTTATTTTTTATTAGTTAGCATTTTAATAAGTTATTATTAATGCTAGTAAAATTAGTTCAAAGAAAATTAATACAAAGGAAATTAAAGAGCTTACGTTTTGAAACGACGGTTTGATTTGAAAAGGGCTCAAATTTTTATTATTCCAAGGGAGCTCAATAAACTAGAGCCCCTGAATTTGAGGAGCCGTACAATAGGCTAGTTACACCACTGCGTGACGAATGCATGTTATCTCTAGATCATATTCAGGGATGTTTCCCTGACCATCGATAATAGCCCATTGTGCAGCTCTAGTGCGACGTAAATAAAAGTACTGTATTGTACCTTACAATTCTTTTGGGCGATATTAACCATTGTTGATCACTCTTCCCATCGATAGAACCGAAAGGTGATCGGAGTTGCGTGATTGTTGTTGTTGTTGTAGTTGTAGTTCATTTATGTCGCACTAGAACTGCACAATGGGCTATCGGCGACGGTCTGCGAAACATCCCTGAGGATGTTCCGAGGACATGCCATCACAATTTTGATCCTCAACAGAGGGGATGGCACCCCTGCTTCGGTAGCCCAACGACTCATTAAACAAAGAAAATGCTTTACGGTAGCACAGTTTAACGAGGACCAATACCGCACACCCTCGGTCCCTACGCAGACTGATCCAAGTGGTCACCCACCTGCACACTGACCGCAGCCAGTGATGCTTGACTTCGGTGATCTGCTGGGAACCGTGTCTTAACGATCTCAGTCCACTGCGGGACTCGGAGTTGCGTGAATTGCATTGAGTGTGAATAGCAACTAAGTCAAGGAATTATTTTTATTTTAAAGATCAATATCTCTCAACAATCGTGGCCTTTAACTCAGCTGACTGATACTTTTGTTATTGTAAATGGCAACATTTTTTCGTTTTACTTTTATTTTTTACGAAGGCAGACGACGAATGCTAATTGATTGCATATTTACATTAAAAAAATAATTTGCAGTACTTATTTTACTCTTTTTTTCATTGATTAGTAATCAATGAGATCATTCACGTTTGACAAACGCTGCGGTTCAGAGAGATGAATTCTAATACGTCTGTTTCCGCGCCATCTACTCCGACGGAGCAAATTAAACAAATCCACTCCAATGTTTCTGCCAAGAAAAAAGCCAAATGTAGTAATCGAGTTCACTTTCCCGCAGATGAAATACTTGTTACCTGTTATTTAGAACCCCCCGATCCATGGTCGAAAGGTATACTAAGATTATATTGCGTACTAAAACTGTGTTATAAAGATGTTCAGTAAACCTGAGTTTCTATAATATAAAAAGACTATGCATTAATGATAATGCATGAAAGATAATGCATTTTTTTTATGTCTATGCTTCCCTTTAATTACTTAATTTATAAAATTTTATTATAATCTTGATACTATATTTATACCAATATTATTGTTTAATTCATAATGTGTTGTCTGCTTTGATGTGTATTTCATGAAATTTTAGATTTTGTACCTACAGTTAAACCTCTATTTAACGAAGTCGCTAAATCTCGATAAAAAAAGTTCGTTATAGGGAGAATTCGTTAAATAGAAAATCACCTTTTGAAATATTTAAGCAACACAAACACGTATTGAATTTATAAACACTAGACATAATTAAAATAGCAATTGATACACCTTTATCTTGTAAACGGGTATCTACTATTTATTTTATAAATTTTAACCATAAAAGAAATATGCATGGAAAACAAGAATCAAGCAAAACATGATCCAGTGTTACACTATCACGCTACATACAATTTTAACTAAAAAAAGCTAAATTTATGTATAAAATTATAGCTGCATTTATTATAAAAGTGATTTTAAACATACATTACCGCATGCGCTCTTAACTGTAATTGCTACTGATAAATTCCTTTAATTTTGTAAGTTTTTCGTTTGAAATGCAAATAAAAAGGGAAAAGGATTTTACTGCTTTCTTTAAAAGTTTGACTTCGAAAATCAATTCAAGGTAATTTCTCTCTTAAAATACACTAACAAGTTTGAAATGTTCTGAAATATTTGGGGAAATAGGGAAAGTGGATCTTGAAAAGTTCATTAAATAGAAAATTCACTTCCCTTTTTGAAAGTTATTTTACGAAGAAATTTCCAATATGTTCTTGGTTCCTTGAAAAAAATTACAAAATGGAACTTTATTAAATAAAAGTCTGGCTGTATTAATTTTTTTTTCGGGATAAAAAATTATTTGTTTTTCATGGAATCTTATTTATTATTAGTTTATATCAGAACATGTGGAACAACATAAAGTTTTTATGGAAAGTTAAGTCATATTTAATTTCTAGTTATCAAAAATTTATTCTTTTAAGTTTGTGATTTTAGATTCATAAAATTTTGATTAGGTTTTTTACTAAAAGTGGAGAGCTTAGGTACTGGTTTTAATGTTTTTTCACTTAGTCACAGAAGCAGAACCATATGTTCACAAAATTACAGATAGATAATTCATAATTGCATGAAAATTGAACCTTTAAAAGTCTCGAGTATCTCTTAGATCTTTAATATGAAATCCATTCTTAACTAAAAGATTAGCCATATTTGTCCACCTCATTGTTACTGCTGGAACAATTTTACGAAAAACGAAAATTAATGAATAAATCATTTCTGAGATTAAATTTAGAGAAAAAAATTTCTGAACTATTTATGCATGTTATTTTAAAAATATGGGTAAAAGAATCATAGCATTTCTTACATTAGGTTTGTATTGATTTATATATGAATAATTTTTTTATTTTTTAGTGTATGCTAATACATTGAATACACTGATTTCTGCATACATTGCTGCTAGTGATAAACAGGGAATAAAACCTTTGCCTTGTGTTTTGGATCAACTGCAGGTATTTATTTATTAAAGATTATTAATTAATAAATTGTGACTTATTTAGTTATATTTTCATCATCAAATTTCATCTTATTTACCAATTTTTTTTCCTTCTAATTTTTGTAAAATTTTATCTATTTTACTGAGGTTAAACTTGTTTTTCAAGATAATACATGAAATTTTTTTTTTGCTGTAAGTAACTAAATTTATCAAAAGTGAATAGTGATCAGATCAGAAGTAAATTTTACGAATTTAAAAAATATTTTCATAAATTAAATGTGATTTTAAACCTTTTAAATTATATTGGATTCAAAAGAGAATATGAGACCATTCATATTTTGTAAATTACATATCCTTGTAAAGAAATAAGAATTCAGCATTTTGCATTTGAGGATGTATTAGCTAACAAATTTTTTTTTAGCAAACATTCACATATTTTTCTGAAAAATGCTTTTTAAAAAAATAAAGAAAATTAGAAAAGAAAGCCAGAAGTAGAATTAGGAAAGAAAAATTGCTTTTGTTAATGATTTTTGTATATATTCCTATTCCATACAATATTTTGAAAATGATACCTCATAGTTAAAAATGTTGATTGTTATTAGCGTTTAGTAATATTTAATCCTTGTAAAAAATCAAAAATCAGATTTTTATTTTTGAAAAATAAAGTAATTCAAATTTTTTTTTTTAGTTGAGTTTTCAATAACTCCATGTTTTAGCTTAAGGTGCTTTGTATTTAAAACTTAGCCTATTCTTGAAACTTTGTTTTATTTTTAGGAATTTGAAAGCAATTCTAACCAACTGGAAGAAAATCCTCGCTCATTTGATCTTAGTATATTAGGTAAGTTCAAAATATATTTGTTACATTTTTAAATTTTGTGAAATGTTTGTAAATATTTTTGCTAAATTCAAAATCCTAAGTTACTTGGTCAAAAAAATCAGAATGATACATTTTGTTCTAACTTTTAAGTTTTTCTGAAATCGTATTTTGTTAAATTAATACTTGATTATTACAAAATGCAGTAAATTGGAAATTATCAATATTTGAATTGGATTTCCATGAATATGTTTTCTTTTTTTACTGTAAATTTGTTATGTTAAAAAAAAAAGAAACAGAAAATCCAAAATTAATGTTCCTATGTTCTAAGAAAAATTAATGTCCCTATGTTTAAGATATTTTTCAAATGAAGTAAAAAAAAAAATTGATTATTTTTTTCTATTTGTCTCTTTAATTAAAGGAATCAAATTAGTTTTTAATTTCCACAGAAAAACTATCTTATGTGTTATACATTATTAAAAAATAAAAATTATATTTGAAATAGCCAAATTTTTTTAATTAGCTATAGTTAATTTTGCTCTTACATTTGGATGGCTTAATGTCTTACATACTTTTTTCAACCATTAGTTTTTTTAGTTTTCATTTTTATACATAAAGCTACATATGGCTATTAATGGCTTTAATAGAGGAAGAAAGTACTTATTCATAGAATTGAATTTATTTGTAGTATTATGAATATGACTATGTAAGCATTTGAACTTCTACATCTTTCACTCTTTGCTATTGGATTATAAGAGAATAATTTTACATTTGTTTATAACAGGTGAAAAACTTAGCTTGAAACACTGTGAAGCTTTAGAAGAAATTCTTAGAAGACTCCAATTTAACTTAGTTGACTTAGAAGGCTGTTACTTAGATGATGAGGTATGTATTCTTATAATTTATGCTTACAGTACAGGCAATTACAAAAACTGCTGCTATTTCTTTTTTGTGAAATTTAATTCCTTCTCCAATTTAAATTTTTATAAATTCTGAATGATTTGTGAACTACTGAAGTTGAAAGTGATTGTGAAACATGTTTGAAGTTTTTATTTTTCCTAATTTAAACTGATTTTTATTAATGAACAATTTTTTTAACTTTCACATTTACTCCAATTTGTCTTAAATATTTGTACTGGTAACTATAATAGCTATTTGATAATATATTGCATGTCATAAATTTTTATACTCTTTCATTATTTTGGAAAACAAAATCAACGAACTTCAAAAGCTTTTTTATTGTGCTACATTTTAAAACTTAAATCGTCTTCTATATATTAATAGTCTTAGTCTTAAATATATAAATGTACAAGTAACCTATAAATATTTCACCTGGATACTAAAAATTATCCTTAGATAAAATCAATCTGTTTCCGCAATTTTTAACTGCTCTCAAATTATATTTTTGACCAGAATTTAGTATACATTGCTTAAAATTTTGAATAACGTAATGCTCATTCTGTTAATTTTGATTTTAAAAAATTCTCTTTTTTTTTGTTTCCTTTGTTAGTAATAATTTATTTATGTTTTTTAAAAAAATTTCCATTATATATTCTCTTTCTTCTTATGAGTAATTTCCTTTGCTAATCAACTAAGCACAAATTTTTCTCAATACTGAATTTATCTCCAAAGTTTAAATATATATCTTAAAATGTTATTATTCTAGGGTGCTGCTGCCTTTTTTGATATGATTGAATACTATGATTCAGCTGAACAGTTGAATATATCTTTTACGAAGCAAATAGATTGCCGTGGGTGGCAAGCATGTTCTCGGATGTTAAAAAAGGTACTTCCCGAACTTTTCTTAATAGAGGTGTATTCAGAACTATTTTTCAATTTCGAACTTTAGTCTATACCCATTAGCTAATATAGAATTTCTTATATCAACTTTAATATTATTGTTTTAACCTCCCCCCCCCTCCTATTTGTCTGTTCTGGTTTTCTCTAGAAATTTCCAATTTTGGNTATTCAGAACTATTTTTCAATCTCGAACTTTAGTCTATAACCATTAGCTAATATAGAATTTCTTATATCAACTTTAATATTATTGTTTTAACCTTCCCCCCCCCCTCCTATTTGTCTGTTCTGGTTTTCTCTAGAAATTTCCAATTTTGGCAACTGTTCTCCAATTATTTGCTTTCGCTATCCCTTTTCACACAAACAGTTCACCTTTGTTGGAGTCTGTTTTGACTTTTCTTTTATGTTTATTCAGAGATCTCTCTAAAAAATAAAAAAGGGTTTGGTGCTCTTTTAAAGACAAGGGAACTTTCAGTTTTAAAGGACACTTATCTTTCAAATTATATCAATTATATTTAGATAGGTTAGTGCCCTTCAAAACAGAATTCAAAATTTTCAAATAATTATAGGAAATAATATTTTATACATATTAACTTAGCCTAAAAATAATTCGCAGTAATTATGGTTTCCTCGTTCAGTATTCTCTTTTCTTAAAATAAAAAAGAGCATTTTTGTTTTTTAAAAAAAAAGGGGAAGCAACATTTTTCAAAAACGGAAAGGAGTGTGCATTTAACTTTGTAAAAGGTTATATAACCAGCCTATTTGAAATTTTATATCTCGAAGAATATTGCCTTGTCAGGTTCTTTAAATATTTTGTACAGTTCTATTATTTTATTCTATTTGTACGTTTGTACAGTACCAGTTATTCCTATTCCTCTTGAATCCATTGTCTTGAATTTCACCTTATGAAGACTTTCCTTTCAAATATTGAAGGTGCTTTTCACACATTTTTAATATCCATGTCTCTAATACATTTCTTAGTGAAGTTCATGAGTTTTGTTCATCAATAAGTTGAAGAAAACTGATCTTGAGATATTTCTTCAGACCTCACAGGAATTTATTCATTCTTCTCTTCTGTATTTTTTGTATTACATTATTGCTATTAATATGTTTTAAAATTTCCTCTTCTAATGAAAGTAATGTTTGTGCAAATTTTCTGAAGAAGTTTTATAGTTAAAAGGGTTACTTGAAATTGAAATGGATTATAAAGCTTTTTACAGGGCTCCCACAAGTCTGTGAGAACAGGGAAAACCTGGAATTGTCAAGGAATTTTATTTTAACTATAAAAAGCAGGGAATAGTCAGGGGAAGCTCAATTTTTACAAAAAACCTTGATAATTCCTATATAATATCTGGAAAATATCCAGTCTTAGAATTGTCAGTAACAGTAATCAGTTATTGAGATTCAAGCTAAATAATTCTAACATTTATTACAATTATTTTATAAAATCATACTTCTTAATGAAACTTTTCCATGGAAACCTGGAAAAGTCAGGAAATTTTTTTTCTGAAATTGAATTTGAGCCCACTTTTTAATACTTTACCTCTTTTTAAACTTTTGATAGTTTAATCTTAATTATCAGTTATTCACAGTAAAATAAAGATGTTTATGTTTTATTCTTTTTTTTTTAGACTCCATCATTGATTCATCTGAATGCGAGAAGTACTGGTCTGAATGAGCAGGTTCTCTTAATTATTGGTAGGGCTTTGCGCTTAGGATCAAATTTAGTCACTTTGCATCTTGAAAACTGTGGTATTTTTGGAAGATGCCTTGTTATATTAGGTAATTGCTATTAATTTTGGAAAACTTATTATTATACATATTAAAGTTAGTGAAAAGGGAGAAAACAAAAGTAGTTTTAAGAAAATTCTAGCATAAAAAATATCTTTTCTTTTTTTAAGAAACTCTTATGTGTTTCATAAATTTAAGAAAACTTAATATAGAAAGATAAGTATTTGTAGGTGAAATATGAGGAGTTCTGATAACTTTTTTCCAGTAATTTTTTCTAGAAATATCGAAGAGATTATTTTATTAAGAATAACTTACTGTTTAATATTTTGTGGAATATAAGGAAAGTATTTTTCCAATTTTTATTAAAATTGAACCAGCAGTAAAATTGTAAAGTTCTTAATTGATAAAAAAAATTTTTTTCCTTCTATTTCAATATTTGAAATATTTATTTGATTTTGACATTTGAATATATGCTAATTATTTAAAATGTTATTTTATTTTTAAAAAAATTCTCATATCAAAAAGTTTTTAAACCGAAGGAGAAAAAAGTTTTCCTCGTATTATTGACTAAGTAATAGGCTTCATAAAAAATTTAATTTTTTTTCCTCTTTTTCAGTTGCAGCCCTGAAGATGAATACTACATTGCGGGAACTATTTCTTGCAGAGAATAAAATATCCTCTGCAGATGGTTTTCAGTTAGGAAATTTACTAAGAACCAATACTCATCTTGAATTGATTGACTTAAGTAATAACAAGTTGGGGGTAAATATAGTTTTTTGCTCTTCATTTTTTAATTTAAAATTATATTCTTAAAAATTAATTTAAGGAAGTTTAATATGCTTTTTTAAAAATTGAACAATACAATACCTATCTGTTTATTTAATCATGGATTGTTACCTGGATCCCAGGTTTTCCGAATTTAGATAAAATAAGTCCTTGGAAAATTAAATTCTTAATTGCTTTTTCATAATTTTAAATCTTGATCTTTTTAATGTTAAACATTGTATTGTAAATATAGATCTTAAATTTCTATATTTTTCAAATTTCTTAAATAGGTACTTTCTATATTATGGCCAAATAGTATAAATTTCCTCATAACAGACCACTTATATGAATAAATAATAGAAATTTGTTCAAAAGAATACCTATTATTTATAGTTATATATTATGAAATTTAAACAATTCAATTGTATTATGTAAAGGTATTACATAATGTAGTGGAATATTTATTTTTCTATTGAAAAATCTTATACTTTTTAAGACAAGATTTCTGATAGTGATAATATTTATCTTTGTGAAATTTGTTTTTATAACTAAACAATGAATATGTAATTAAAAACTTTCATTGTATTTATGTAGTTTGATATATTTTTTATTCCTAATTTCTACTCTGATTTTTAGGATGAAGGGTTAACTCATGTGATGGATAGTCTTGGACAGCAATCTAATACATCTGGCAGAGGGCTCAGTACTTTAATATTATGGAATAATGAAATCACTATTAAAAGCATGGCATGCATTTCAAGGGCACTGGTATGGCTTTTTTTAAAAAAATTAAAATATTTCTTTTAATGTTAATTGCTTTTAAGTTCTATTTTCTTATTTATTTTGTATTGTTTGCAGACTGCAGCACGGGCTCTTCGAAGGTTAAATCTAGGCAGTAATGAAATAACTAGTGCCGGTATTTTAGATTTGAAGCAGAGTTTTATTTGTAACAGGACAATTGAAATCTTGGAGCTGGAGAATGCAGCCATAACATCTGATGGTAAGACATATTTAAAAATTATTTTCTTTCGAGTGTATAAATTGTTTTGTTTGACAGTTGTATGGTTAAAAAGATAATAACAGTATATTTTAAGCAAATGTTAAGTTTGGTTTCTCTTTATCAAAGTATCGTTTTCAGTTTATGTAAGTAAATTATACCTAAATCGATATTTATTATATTTACACCTAACAGTTTAGTGATTAAATAATCCGGTCCCTTTTCGCTATGAAATCTAATATTATATCTCTATATATACATATTATATCTCTAAAGTTTAATTGGGACTTGATTCAATAGGGATAGTTAAATTTTTAAATAAATTGCTAAATTAATGAAAAATATTTATTCTCTTTGGGATGGGGATTGCTCTTACTATGTCAATTTAATAATTATAAAAGCAAGTTTTGATTTGTTAATAACTTCTCACCACTCACACAATTATTTCTCTGATTTTGTGCCTCGCCTTTAAATTTGAATTTATTTTAGTTTTTCAAAACTAAACAAACTTTTTAAGCCTCAATTTAAACAATTAGGGGAGAGTTGGGTAGCCCCGCTCACTTAAGGAGTATTGCTTATATTTCTGTATAATATTGAGTAATAATCAATATTTTTGTATGTTTCTATTGTTTTATCATCTAATTAAATAATGCAAAAAGAATAAACCAAAAAAAGAATAGTTTAACTTAAAAAAATAGAAATTTAAAAAAACATGTTTTTCAGCTCGTTTCCAAATGTGTCGGGTAGCCCTGCCCAGTTACAAAAATTATGTTTTAGACTGTTTTTTTTAGGTGTAAATGAAAATGACCAATATATTGACAATAGGTAAACCATTTTTATCACGAAATTATTTTATTTATTACATATTTATATACTTTTAGTCAATTCTATCATTTAATAACAATAATTTAATAAAACCAATACTTGTTGTTAAAAATGCATATAACATTTAAATTTGAAGCAATAAAATAATAATCTTTGCAACCGTACATTTATCGACGAAATAAAATTGGGCGGTGATACCCGACATTCATGTGAGCGGGGCTACCCGAAATCCAATTTTTTTGTAAATTTGTAATTACTCGAACAATTTTTCACATATAAACTTCTTTCTTTGTGCAAATTAAACTTAAGACTACATACTTTAATGCTGTATGTATAGAAAAAATTATTTTTTTAGTATTAAAATGAAGTTTAATCGAAACATTCAACGAATTTTTCTTAATTTCATGACTACTGTATTCAACATATTTTCAAAACTATTGTTTACCATGTTAACAGCTGTATAAATACTTGGAACTTTGAAAATAATCTTTTTTAAATATAACTATTAATGTCCGATGGCCCATTGACTTGAAAAAATATTCTATTCATATGAAATTCAAGTGGGTGGGGGTACCCAACTCTCCCCTATGCTTTTAAATGTTTGTGCTTTTAGTTTAAAGTTTAAAAGATTATTATATTTAATATTTACTTTTAAACGTAAGATAATAATGTTCCTTTTCTGTCATTTTATATGTGTATACCTTCAGCTATTCACTGAATGAAAATCTTCCATTTTTTCCAAAAGATCTCCAACTATATAATTTAGATTCTTTGATTAATTTTTTCCCTGGTGTTATTGTTTATTGGTTAATTTTTATCATAAATAAATGAATGTTACTCTGTATTACTTCAATTTTTATTCCTTTGATTGAGAATTCTTAAGTTTTCTTTTTAGTTTTCTAAAAGTTTAATAAAAGTTTTTGAATGCTAGTTTCTGATAAATCATTGGTAGTTTCTTCTAGTTAGTCAGATATTCTCCATTTATCTTAATTTCTTCTTCCAGAACAGCAGTGAACAATTTAAATAATATTGTGGTATCTTAGGCATATTGCTCTTTCCTGTTTGGTTTTTCCTTTTTTAATTTTTTTTTTTTTACCTTTTCTGATTGTTAACGCTAACTTTGTTTGTTTGAAATGATATTAGTGTAAGCTTTTTCGATTCCATTTTCTACAAAGTAAGCAGCATGAAAAACATGCTAATGTTCTAAAAAATCTTTTCAAAGTCAATAATCTGAATGCAAAGCAAATACTAATGTGAAAAGCACTTACATTGCTTAATTAGTTCTCTGAAATAGTTTGATTGGGTTCTATGATGCTAAAATTACTTCTTAAACCTGCTTGTTCTTCAAGATCTGCCGAGTCTAAAACTTATTCCAGTTTGCTGGCTAATATTTTTATAAAGATCTTATGGAGGACTGATATGATGTTTATCAGTCTATAATTCTAATATTCCCTTCATTTCGTTTCTTATATATTTATATGAGTGTGTGTATGTCTGATTCTTTTAAATATAAAAAGGGAATGTGTAAATTAAATATATGAATTTAGATTATGTTTGTTTCTAAATTGATTGTGCATCATGCTTCATTTATGATTGTTAGTAAATATTAGTATTAATCTAGTATTTCAGTATTTACTATTATTCTACTTACATATGCAGTTTAACTATTCACATGAAATTGACCATTTGAATTTATTTAAATAATTCAGAACTAGTAAGTATTTTAGCAAATACAGTTTAAGAGACATACCTAAATATTTCATTTAAGAATGTAATTAAAAAAATGATCTTTGTCGAAGTAAGTTTTTTAATTGTTGTTATATATATTTTCTCATGTGTTATCTTATGAAGCTGATTTGTGATTCATAACATTATGCTTTTTTTCAGGAAAATATATCTTCAAAGCTTACTTTAGTTGTTTAATGTATGCATAATTTTTGAAATGTATTTTCTTTTTGATGATCAGGGATGTAACGACTATTTGGCACTTTTGCCGAATATTCGGTTGACCAAATATTTGGCTGAATTTTCGACCAACAAAATATTAAAAAAAAAAAAATTTGTCAAATTTTTTTTTCTTTTGAATTTGAATATATTTAATAAAGAATAGTCTAAAATCATATCTTTTAATATACATTATTAGAAAATTGTTTTTACGCGTATTTGTTACATTCTAAAACTTGTACATGGCTTGCAAGGATACAACCTAACGGACTATGATCTGTCCGGAAGTTAGTCTGAGAGCTCAAAACAGCTAGTTTAAATTTTCTGAGAAAGGACCTTGGATAAAAATCTTATAGAAAGAGCAAAATTCACAGACATTCATAATCTGTTTAGATGAAAAAGATGCAAAGGGTGGAAGAAATTCTTGCATGGCAAGCTGGGCATGAGTTGGTCTTTAAAGACGAGAAACTATTGTTTTACAGCAAAGTCTCAGCCTCCAAAATGATAGAATTTGGTCCATTTTTATTGATCTCTAAGACATCTTTAACATCTCTAAAAGTCAGCAATGTGTCCTGTATTATCAAAATGCTTCATCGTTGATGATTTGGGGAGGCAATTTCAAAAAGAGGCTAATTCCCATTAGCTTTCATCAAAAAGGAAGTAAAAATCAATGCCCAATATTACAAAACTAATATTTTGGAAAAAGTTTCAATCCCAAGGGTCCAGAGTATGTATGAGATTAAATATGTTTGCTTCCAACAAGAAGGTGCTCCTGTTCTTACCATACATGTGGTTCAGAAGTGGTGCTGCAAAAATTTAGCTGACTTTTTGTTGAAGAATGAATGGCCTCTAAACTCCCCTGATCTGAAATCGTTTGATTGAGAGCCCCGTGGCAGAATCGTGGCGACACACCGACATTGGTGCAGAATGTTACCAAGCTCTTACAGAAGGATTTTTCCTTTAGGAAATAAAAACTTGTTGCTTTTTTTTCCTGCAGAAATTTTCAAAAGATTATATCTTTTCTTCAGAATTTTATTCAAAAGATGCCTTTCTCGCGCATCGGAGTGTGAAAAAAAATGTTAGTGATTTTTTCTATTCTAATTTGAGATGAGAATAATGAAAAGTAAAGAATAATGAAGTAAAAAATGTTGGTTTTCTTTTCCATAAAAATTTTTTTTCTATTTTTTTATGCAGTTATTACTACTAGTTTCCACATAGTTTTTAAAATTCAATATTATTTATTGCAACTGAATCTCGAAATAAAAACACACATTTTGTAACCTCTTTTTGAAAAATCCGATTTGTGTGATTTTGCCGTTGATCTTTTTTTTTTTTAGTAGTTATTGCTGCAGATTTCAAAATTTTTTTTAAAAGTTATGTTGAATTACAAAATGCGAAAAAGGAAATAATTAGTGTGTTATCTTTCTACAAAATGTTAGAATATTGCTTATAATATTAGAATGAAAAAATATCACATATTCCATTAAAAAAATATTTATTTGATCCAATTTTTTTATTTATTTATTTAATTGAATTTTTTTTAAATTAATGCATCTTTTAATTTAAATTAGTAACATATATATTTGTTATTTTTAATTATCATGCAGAAAGATATTAGTATTAGAGAGGTATGTCTCAGAAGGCCCGAAAAAATTCTGCCACAGGGATTGAGAGTATTATTAGGTCATATATATTCTCCCAACTTAATAATTATAAAATCACCACTTTGAGCTAATTCAAAAATTTAATTCATAAGACATGGCAGGAATTTCCAATGGAAGCTATTTGTGTCGCATGTGGTGGATTTAAAAAAGAGACTTCAGCTCGATAAGGAAGTAAGGGGCGGTATTATTCCAAATCATTTATTGTTAAGATACTTAATGATTGCTACTTTAATTTCATGCAAAATGGTTTTTGCATATTTTGTTTTGTATTACTGTAATAAAAATTTGAAACTGTATGAGAACTTATTGGTCAACGTGTATTTATATATATAGCTGTTGGTCAGTTTTTTATTTATCTTAAATATTTCTAATGAATAATTATTATAGGTTTCTTCCCTTTACCTCATACCAATAATATAGCAAAGTTTTGATTAATTTTTAATAATGACTAAACTTATTTATGTGTAAAAAATATTATTTATTAATTATATTTTTAAAAAAAATGTTGCTATTTGGCCGATTTCTTTTTTCCGACTGAATATTCAGCCAAGTCACTATTCGTTACATCTCTAATAAGGATATGCTGCAAATACGGTTAGTTTCTCTCAATTACCTTTTGGCATAATCTTCATGTTGAATTAAATTTTCAGTTATTGCATTACTTATGTTTATTATAGTTTTATGTTTTTTTCTCTTATTATTTCTTGTTTAGCTTTTTTTAACCATATTTTTTATCACTAAAATTAACATTTTTAAATATATTTTCTGGAATTTTGATTTTTTTTAATGGGAAAAACTGTCAACAACATTGATTTCATCTTGAAAAAATGCTTTTTTAAGTTGATTTATTTGCAGTTGTATGCCAAAAGAAACTAAAAGTGATGCTCAAGTTGTTCGTGAAAATACAACAATTTTGTTGTATTATGGTAATTAGATCTTGGTATTTATTTGTGTTTTTTAAGTCAGTTGGTGCTAAACTGTGCTGTAAACTAAAAACATCCTGAATAATTTTTTAGGGGCCTGTGCGTTAGCTGAATATATATCTCAAAACCAATTCATTCAAAAATTGGATATTAGAGGCAATGATATAAGATTGGATGGACTTGAAGCTTTAACTAAAGTAGTGTCAAAAAATTCCAATATTATCAGCTTAAAAATTGATCCAACGTCCAAAGACTTGGTAAGTTTTTATTTTCATATTTGAATGCAGTTAATGTTGGAATCAATAAAAATATGCAGTTTCAACATTATTATTATTATTTTAAGTTTTTTATTTTATTGATTATTTTATTAATGTTTTATTAAATAAAGGCTGGAAAAAATTTTCAAAATGTTTCAATAATTTGATCAATTGCAATATCAGAATAATTTAAAGTATTGCATTACTTACAAGCTTTGCTACTTACAAGCATATACTTACAAGCTGTACTACTGGCTACCTTTTCCACTTATGTTTCAATTTTGGCAATTATTTTTACATTTCCCTCATGATGGAAGCGTGTGTTAAATATTCCTTAAATTAGAATGGTGTTATGGCAGATTTAATGAACCTTGTAAGATAACTTTGCACCATCTATTTTGTAATTCCCCATATTAAATTATTCCAGCCTGTAAATGAAAAACCATAGAGATTTGTGAAGGAATCTGATTTGTAGGTATATATCACATGAGGAAGTGATTATTTAAATATTTTATCCTCGCAAAGGACAGTTTCTGATTGTTAAGATAGTAATTGAATGTCTCCACTTTTTTATAAAAATTTAATGATTTATCAAATCACTATCTATCCACAAGGATTTTATTGTCAATAAGTCAAAGAAATAATTGAAAATGGAATTAATATAGTTAATTAAAAATATTTCCAATTGAACATATTGTTTCTTTATGTTGATTGCAGTTTTTTTAAAACTATTTTTCTTCTTTAAAATGTTAAAGTATTACATGTTGATTTATTATGTTACGTTCCAAAAAACTTTAACCTCAAAGTTGGTTAATTACTACAAATAACATTTGAAAATGTGTATTATTTTAGAGTGAACCCCTGGTAGAGAGACAAGAGAAGATTCAGGAAATAATTAAATGTTGCCAAAGAAATAAAGAAGCCAAAGATTCACTTCCCCCTCAGGATGCTCAGTTAACTACTTTATTTAATGGAATATTTTCACATGTTCTTCCTTCTCCTCAACCAGGTGATTCTCCAAGTCAAAATTTCAAGCCTGATATGGAGAGAAATGATAATACTCGAAATTCTTTCCGAGGTCGTTTCCGAGTCTCAGTTGTTGAACTCAATCAAGAAAATATTTCGAAATCTTCTCCTGGAGTTGATAGATCATTTTCTTTGGATTCAACTCATTATACAATTAAAAATGAGGGCAAAGTTGAAACCGGTGATCCTATTGTAAATAAAAGTGTGAAAACTGTCAATTTGGTGTCAGATCGTATTAAATGGCTGGAGGACCTTAAATTGTCTGGTATTGAATATAATGATCTGTACAGCTCGTTTTCTCCTAAAATAGAGAAAATTGATGGGGATTCCGAAGTGTTCATGTCGGCTGCAGAGATGAGAGATAGGTTTCAACCAAGAGATAGCCTCTGTCTAGAATTGCATGATGGTTTAGGAACCAGCACTGAACCAGAACAAAAAGTAAGGCGTTCAAGCTCACCTACGATCTCTTCTACACCTTCTGTATCTCGCAAAACTCGAAGCATCAAATGTTGCAAGGAACTAGAGGGGCTGGACCTTCGATCAACAGTTCCTTTGTCACCAACTAGACTTCACGAAAGTTTTGGTAAGTTCATGAAATTCGTTGTAGATATTACAGTCTTATATATTGATGTTTGTTTGCCATCATATTTAAAAAATATTTCAAATAAATTATTATTTTTTATTTTGTGTGAGAGTATGTAGGTTTTAAATTATTTAGGAAAAATATATGTGCAACAGAATCTTTTAATATTATTTTACAGGTTATTTTACTGAAGTCTTTTTTTTTGATATTACTGTAGTAATTTTTTTTTTTTTGAGAATATAATAAGGAATACCCTACTATTGGGCTTATGGCAGAAGATAAATTTTAATGGTGGAAATATTTTTATTGCAGTTTTTATGATGAGGAAGCAAGATTATATTAAATGCATATTATACATTGCACTTGTGAAGAATTGATAGTTCACCGATATATCAAAACAATAATTGCTTTTATTTAAGTAATACTGGCCATAAAATTAAATAAAAGAAATAGTAGGCAGAGGAATCCTATAATATGGATGAAGTGATGCATCTTCGAATATGATGAAATTTTTCTAGTAAATTAATAACAGTCGGATTGAGGGTCCCTCGAGCATCCAAAACCCCCTTGTCCTAATAACTAAAATTGTGAAAAAGTGAGTGAATTGTTCCTAACGGACACTTAAAAGTACAGGAAGAAATCTGTAGTTAGCGATTTATCGAATGTTAAAATAACCAAAAACAAAGCCAACCTCGCATTATTAATTTCACATTTTAATTCATTTGGCTATAACTTAATCACCGAAAAAGACAGGGAGAATTAATATAACCCTGTAACTAAAACATTTTTGTGGTAAGAGAAATAAAGTAGCTTAAAGAATAAAGAGTTAAAAATAGATTTTAATGTTGATTTAGTCGTGACAGTGAATTAATGACTGTTTTGTGACAGTTGTATTGAATTAAAAAGTTAGCTGTTATATTGATTGTTAAGAACAGAATAAAATATTTATATTTGCTTTTTATAAAATGTTGTTAAAAATTAAATAATTTGTTTAATTTAATTAAAATTATATTAAGAATGATTTGAAAAATTGAATTTATGAAATTAAAAAAATTTAAAAGCTAGGAAATACGTAATGCCTATGATTGTATCACAGGACTGAATTATTAGACAGAAACTTCTTGCAAAATAGTTACAAATCAGACAGTGTTTGTTTTTATATGCTTGTATATAATGTTTATATATGTATAAAACTTCAGGATCTTAGTTGCAAGTGGAATTGCGTAACTCCATGTTTTTTTTCTTCCATGAGCAGTTAGTAAATTCTATGAAAGTTATTGTTCGTTTTTCGTGTTCTCTCTATGAATTTAATTTTTTATATGAATTGCCATATATTTTCTATATATCACCTATGTATTATATATATATATATGTANTTTCATATATATCATGTCATATGACAATTCATAGAGGAAACATAAAAAACAAAGAATAACTTGCACAGATGTCACTAACTGTACATGAACAAAAAAAAAAATGAAGTTGGGCAATTACATATGCAATCAAGAGTGTGAAGTTTTATATAGTACTGTAAATATTTAGTTCTCAACATCAACTATTTCAGATTTTCCATCAGTTTTGGTTTTACTAAACTAAACTCAGTGGCACGACAGCCCTTGCGGGCCAAGGCCTACTGTGCCCATCTCAGTTTTCTTGACCTTGGGCTCTGAGGTGCAGGAGCAGATGTTCCGGTCAGGTGGTCAGCCAGACGCAGAACTCCCTGTGTTTAGTTCCCAAGCTCGGTACTCATTTATCGACCCACTGAAGGGATGAAAGGCTGAGTCAGCCTTGCCCGGCCCAAGGATCGAACCAGGGACCTGTGGCACGACAGCGCTACCGCTCAGCCATCGGGCGTCTTTGGTTTTACTACTGAACATTAAAATTTATGGAAAGACTGATTTCCTGGCTTTTTTGAAATAGCCTCATGATTTCTTACCTTTAATGAGGAAATAATCTTTAATTGTATTAACTTTTTAGTAATTTGGTGATAAATCTATATATTTTTTTGCATAGGAGTAACCTTAATTATTTAGACGTAATTTAAATTTACAGCAATATTTTTGATATTTATAATTTTTTGTTGATGTTTATTATAAGTGAGGGGTTAGATCCAGGTAAGTCTAAATTATAAATTTTTATTTTTAATGCATTTTTGACTGTGGACAGTATAGCTATTTCGCTTAGTGCAATAGCCAAACAAAAATTTAATATCATTCCTCTGTTGTGGATTGAATAGTGTGAGAAAAGCTACCTTTTGTCTTTTTTAATTTTAGTTGACTCTTACCAACAATTTCTGAATCTTAACTTACCTTGTTCTTGCACCAAGCCATTCAATTTCTAATTGATAATCTTAAATAATTTAATTAAGTGTACTAATTAAATTACATTTTGCACTTTAACATTATCATGAAAGAATATATATGCTATTACAGACCTGCCAGCTCTCAGGCTTTTCTGTCTAATTCTCAGAACCCAAAAATATCAAATTTTGATTTTATCCTACTAAATGTAAGAATTGGCAAACCCATGCACTCTTTGCTTACAATTTTTAAAATTCTTTATCTCTAACTCAATGATTTTTTAATTCAAATGTATTTGGTTTATAGCTGATTCCTTTTTAGTATCTTTTTATAAAAATATTTGAAATGTCTTATAAACCAAAAATAAGTATAATACTGTATAATTTATGCATATAATTTATAATTTATGCATTTATGCTCATTTAAGAGTGATATTTTAATTCATGCTGAAACAGCTAACTTGAGTAATATTTCAATTGTTTCTTTTTCAAGCTCCAAGTTTTTTGTTTATAGCCAAGTTTTGTGAAACTTTAACAAAAAGGTGGCAAAATCACATTTCTTGATATTCTAAAAACTCAGTTTTCTGCTATATAGTTCAAAGACAGTTTTCATTCTTTAGACAGCATAGAAAATTTTGATTCTTTAGACATCATTGATACAAAACGGTTTAAAGTTAGTTACAGGAAATGTAATCCCTACAGTGTGTTGGCCAAATTAAAGTTGGTTGCATGAACCATTCCTACTGAATTAAATTACTGTTTTGCTTTTTTGTACACACAAAATCCATCTCTCTTGTTTTATTTATTCCCCCCCCCTTAAATTTTTAACCTTTGGCAGATCTGCACAGTTATCAAAAAGTAGCTCAGCTAACTTCATGGAAGTTTTGTCACAGCAAATTGATTTTCCTGCAATATAACTGTGTCTTTTAAATTAGGAGGAATATTTCATATTGCTTAATATTATATTAAATTTTATGCTAAGGACTTTTGTTTCTCTTTAGATTTTCAAGAACCTCAAGTTAAAGATGTTCCATTGAATGATCAAATGAACATCAAGTCATCTCATGCTGTATACATGGTTCATTAGTTATGGGATTAACTCCTCAACTCATATAATATTATGGAAATGTTAACCATTAAAATATTTATGTGAATGTTTGAATTTATGAAATAATGTATATTAGCATTGTTCCTTATGTGATTTGTTATTCTTGCCCTGTTTCATTTGTGTAATGTCTCACACAAAATTGGTTTGATTGTTGAATAATACTTTTAAATCTTTTTTTTTTTTTTTTTTTACTTTGTGTTAAGTAAATAATTCTATTAAAAGGTTTGTTTCTATAAGTTATACATTTAAGATTAGTGCTGCATTGTGCCTTCCTGTTACTTATTTATTAGCATTTTTTCTTCTTTGAATCGTGTCTCCTAATTTTTGTTCATTCTGCAAATTTTATTTTAACAATTGTTTTAAATTGTTGATTTCATCACCCTAGAAAGAAAACAAAAGGTTCAATTATTTCTCTTGTGTATTTTGATTGGGTTGAAATTGAAGTATTAGATTATTATTTTAAAAAACGTTTGAGGGAGGAAAATGTAAGAAAAATTAATTTAGCATGCTCAAAAAAAATTTTCTGCAAAAACAGTTATTTTAAACTTAAATAATTTCATGGCTTATTTTTTGAAATATTAATTCATTTTGACATTAATTTTTTTCTTTGTTACAAAATATTTTTATTACAAACTTATGTACTAAAAAGTTAGTGTGACAAATATAATATTTTTTAACATATCAAGATTTAAACCCACCCAAATGGAAGTTAATTTTATTTAAAATCACAAAAATTGAATTTATTACTAAAAATTAAAAGTAAGCTCTCTAATTATTGTTTTATTGCAAAGCAAATTTTAAAGTTGATACTTTTTGCCGAATTATTTTACTTAATGACTTAAGTAAACTTTTTCAATTGTCAATAAATTGATCTAGTATATAATTATAATTGGTGGATTAGAATGATATTGATTTCATGGTTTGTCAGTTTTGATTATTTATCAAGTTTATGTTTTATATCTTTTATTCTCATTCTTTCATTATAGCTTTATTATGGGTAAGCATATTGCACCGGTTGAAATAAAGACATAAATAAAACTTATTATAGGTTATTATGAACAATTTTTTACTACATTATTTTTTTTTATAGTGACTGCGAAAGACAATCACTTTTTTTTTTTTGGTTTCATTGTATATCCTTCAATTTATTTTGTTTTATGATTGAGACTCAATTTTATTAGGTTATTATAATTTTTATGGGATTTGAAATTTATGAATGCAAAATGCATAATAAACAAAAATTTTAAATATTTTAAGTAATTTTTTATAAAAAAATTCTCCATTTTACATGTTTAAAGTGAAAGGTATTGTTCGTAATAAATCAATACTTGTATTTTAAAACAAATCAAAAAAGTTTTTTTTATATACATCTTCTACTTCCATTGCAACCCAGTTGATGAGTCAAACTTAGCATGGATTTCTTAAACTTATATTTTAGTACATATTTAATAGTGCTAGAAATTTTACTATATTTAATCATTTTTCAAAAGTGCTCACTAACACCATTAAATTAGTACTTTGCTCTATCTATCCATGGGTTGAAAAAGTAATAGTGATCACTCATTCAATAATTGCCTGTAAAGTTAGTGTTAATAACACACATTTTTCCTATAACTTCTATGATCACTTAAATTTCTAACCTTTGCTTTACTACTTTCTAATTTGTTTTCTCTTTCCTTTAAAATTAGTCTTTCTCTGTTGAAAGTATATTTTAAAGTTTGGTAGCTCATAGAAGTCTCTAGTTATATTCTGGCGTTCCTTTTATATAGTTCAAGCCAAAGTCTGAGGACATATGAAAAGATTTTTTTTGTTGCCAGTTATATTTTTACATTGATTAGTAACTCCTTGTATTATCTGTACATAGAACAGAAATGTAAATTTTATTAAAGTTATATATATTGGCTACTGTGTAAATAATCTACTAGTGCTAAATATGAGTCAGTATCTCTGTCTAAAATTTAAATGCTGTCTTTCATTATTGATCTTTCTTTGCGTAAGGTTAAAAGTTATTTGACAGGTAAGACTTAAATGTATTATTAATTGGCTTTTAATGTTCAGATGCTCTTACATAGCTCATTTATTTATAAACTTTATTCAGTTATGCCTAGGGACACATAATGTTTTGATTATCTGGTTGCAAACATTGGGAAATATTTTGTTGGATGATGTAATGTGTAGGGTTTACAAATCCAGGTCGTCATATCAACTGAAAATTCGTAGATGGTGCAAAATATTTTAAACTTGAAAAGAAAAAAAATTCTCCTGAAAATTTGAAAATTTTTTAATAATTTGTTTTTTAAACAAAACATCTGAACCAAAACATTATTAAAACATCTCTTGCCTATATCTCGACCTATTTGTATTTGTCATTAAGCTCCATATTAAGCTTTGTATTGAAAAACTAAAAGACAGATTTTGATTTTATGCTGACATATTATATCTTAATATAATGCTGTGATTTTAGCTTGCATATTTATCTACACATTAAAAATGTGTACCAAACTTCAGACTATTTTTTTTTAGATATTAAATTCAAAACGATAGTTGTCTATGTAATTTCGAAAAAAATAAAAGGTGTTATACCACTTTCCATTGCATTACATGCTGGCTTCGGGAAATTTTAAGTATTGTAGACCCCTGGTAATGTTATAATAACAAAAATGCAGGATTTTTTATATANATATATATATATATATATATATAATATATTATTTAATAGTAACATGATTAACATTCATACCTTGTCTGCCTTAAAGCTGACATTTTTATTTGTACATATCAAATTTCACATTGGATAGTATACATTGTATATTTATTTTTTTTTTGCTGTATAATGTTCTAGACTTTGACTTTACATTATTAGCTATATTGAAGGCATTAAGAAAATTAAGGTCTGGAGGTTGTGATAAAACTAAGTCAAATAAAGCATATAGTGTTGTGGTTGTTGGTGCTCTTTGTTGAGAGTATTGCTTGTCAGAAAGAGTATTTTGAAATGATTAATCGGTGAGATATTTGTAAGAAACTATTTTTTATGCTAATCTTAAATATGTAGAAGATTTGTTCCTAAAATAATATATTGTATATTTTTTTTCTGTTGTTCTAAGGGACAAAATTATTTGACTTTATTGAAATTGTTACAATTTGATTGTGCATCATATGAAGTATTTAACTTATCTTACCTAAATTAGCAATAGAAGTAAAATTAAATTTAAGCTATCATATAACTGTTTAAATATGTATGAAATGGGTAGTATTTTTTTTAAATGTAATGCTGTTTATTTTTTTCTCAAATTGTAACTGTTCTTCATTTAAAAACTATTGTGCAATTTTTTAAATTCTTATGAAAAATAATAATTTCCTGTTACGATCAGTACCATAATAAGAAAAGGAAGACTATTTAATTATTAAAATCATTTTAAGTAAGAAAATATGGTTAGTTTTAAATGTTTACATTCACATAAAACAATAAATTTTTAGCTCTAGTTAGACTAGAATTTATTGGTATTAAATGTTTTTTAGTTTTTAAAATTCATTTCATTACCCATATATTTTTTTATCTGTTTTGTTTTTATCTTTGTAAGCAAAATTGCAACAAGCATACTCCATAAATGGAGAAAATAAAAAAGTAAAGTTGTTTTTTTATTATTTTTTTTAACTGTTTTACTCATTTTCTGCTATTTGCTATTTAAATTCATTGGATATTAAAGATGACAAGTAACTGAGATCAAAGAAAAGAGCATTACTTTAATATTGTTAATCTTAAAGTTAGCTTAAAAATAAATAAATGATAGTGTTCACCTGTCGAATCTGAGAAAAACAGTATTAAAAAAAGCTGTTTTCAGTATTATTAAGTTTTAAGCAATACAAGAATATTTTTTTTTTGATTCAAATAATTTGGAGTAAAACTTTTTTGTAATTTGACCATTCTGCTTTCTTGTATCATGGTAGTCAAGGCAAAGGGTTTTATTTAATTCAATGTTAAGATAACTTATATTTCAGCATTGAAAGTTTTGCAGATTTTTCCAAGTGTTAAACAGTGAGAAGATGCACTTTTTTTTAAAAAAAGAAAAAATATTTAAAACTGTATTTAAAGTAATAGCTATAATTATAAGCATTGAGCTTTATTTTTTTTCTGTAAAATTACTATGTAGTTGAAAAAAATTCACATATTTTTTATCGTAAATTTTTTTATATTTTAATTTATACATAAATAATTCCGTAGTCCGTCATTATATAGCAAAATCACTTGCTTTTTCTATTACTGAAATTCCAGAAAAGTCCTGGTATTTTTTTTTGTAATAAAAGTATTTTTTCCAAATATTTTTACGTAAATAACAATACGGTAGTCCCTGGTTATATTTTAAAATCAAATACTTTTCTATTTCTCAAAATTTCAGAAAAGTGCTGGAATTTTTTTTTAGTAAAAGCATTTTCAGAATAGTTTACTAGGGATAGATTAATTTATATTTTAATTATTAATAATTTTTTGTTTGTCTATAGATTGCATAAGAATAAAATAAATTTATAAATCAGTGTCAATGTTTAATTTTCTTAATAAATTTGTCTTGAATGTTATTATTTTTGTTATATTCAAACCGATTTTCATTAGGTTGTATGTTTAGGTATATTGCACATTTTCTTATCCCCAACTAGGACAGGATATTGTATTAATTAAAATATTAAAACTTTAAAAAAAATGGCTTGATTAAATAAGTGATTTAGAAAGGAAAAAAAATCAATTTTTTGATGTGATATACATATAATGTTTAATGCTTTTTAATCTTTTTCTAATTTTTTAAAATTTTATTTGGTGAATACTTTAGGTGAATATTTTAGGGGATTTCAAAATAAATTCTTTGCAAAATAATTTCGTTCAGTGGATTAAATTTGAAAGTCAAAAATCTCTCCCAAGATTATTGAAACTTTTGTATGCATATTAATATTATGAAAGATAATATAGTAGATTAATGTTATAAAGACTTGTAAAAGATGTAGATTAAAATAATGACCCACTCATTTTTAGATAATATGGTGTGAAAACTGGCTAGCTTTGGTAAAGAACTGGTTGCTATAAAAAGAATTAAAAAAAAGGAATGAAATGGAAGTTCCATGTACCGATTTCAACAATAAATTTTCACTTTCTATGCTAAATAGGATTGATTGTTTTATATACATATCTAATTTTTAGAACATTATCCAGA